GAAGCCCTCCCACCTAAAGCATGGAATTCTGGGAGTTGAAGTCCATCTTAAGCATGGAAGGGTGGGAGTGAAAGCCCTCCCATCTAAAGCATGGAATTCTGGGAGTTGAAGTCCATGATCATCAAGTTCCAGCACAGCCTCTCCTGACCTGGACCTCAACTCCCAGAATCCCTTGGCCAGGAAGGGAATTCTGGGATCCTGGAAGGGCCCTTTGGTCCAACCATAGCAGCCAATCTCCTCAGTTGTGATATGCATGTGAGCGCCAGAGAAGTGAGGAATGTGGTGGTAGAAAATGGAACAGTCTCCTCAACCTGGATAGTTTGAAGGTGGGAAGACTTGTTCAACTCCAACATGGCTGGCTGGGGAATTCTGGGAGCTGAGGTCCATCCATCTTCAGGTTGTCCGGTCTCGAAAACACCAACTTCAAGGAATAGAATCAGAATAGAGATGGAAGGGACCTTGGAGGTCTTCTAGTCCAGCCCCCTGCTGAAGCAGGAAAACCCTATACTATTTCAGACAAAATGGCTGTTCGTTCTCTTCTGAAAAGCCCTCCAGTGATGGAGCACCCACAACTTCTGGTGGCAAACAGTTCCACTGGTGAATTGTCCTCCCTGTCAAGAAATTTCTCCTTAATTGCTTCTGTCCTTGGTTAGTTTCCACCTGTTGTTTATTGTCCTGCCCTCTGGTACTTTGGAGAATAAATTGAAAATAAATCCAACTTAAATTGGAAGCCGGGGAGGACCACAGAGTTGGAACTCGGGGCCTCGGGGACCTCCTGGGTGGGGCACCTTCGCTCCCTGGGCCTCTTCCAACCGGCCTCCTTCCTTCAGGCCATCAAGCGCACCTTCGACAAGAAGACGGTGGACGTTTTCATGCTCTTCAACCGGGAGCTGTCCCTGGTCAACAAGGAACTCAGCAAGAAGACCCCTTTCCTGACGCCATACATGTGTCACTATTCAGGCATGGCCCACTGGATGCGCGCGCTCCGGCGGCGCGTGGACAGACCCATGAAGGTAGGGCTGTCTCCTACTAAAAGGTGGTGGTGGAGGAAACAGGGCTGACGGGATCTCCCGTGGCTTCTCCTGAGCGCCTGTTTCAGTCGGGGGGCCCTCAAGGCAACGGGGAAGGTATTTTACGGGGAGTCCTTGACTTGCAAACATAATGGGGTTACAATGGCCTTGCAGAAAGTGACTTAGGGCCGTTTTTCCACACTTAGCGACCGTTGCAGCATCCTCCAGGGGTCACGTGACCAAAATTCTGCCGCTTTGGCAACCGGCATGGGCTTACGACGGTCGCTGTGTCCTGGAAGGTCACGTGGTTCCCCTTTTGCGACCTGCTGAGAATCAAAGTCAACGGGGGGAGGGGGGGCTGGAATCACTTAACGACCGTGTGTGAGACGGACGTTTAACGATTGCAGTGGTTTGCTTAACAACTCTGGCCAGAAAGATGGGGCAAAACTCACTTCACACATGTCTTGCTTAGCGACGGAAATTTTGGACTCCCTTGTGGTCATAAGTCGAGGGCTGCCTGTATTGGATTGAGTGCCCTCAGGAAATCCCTAAAGCTGCAGATTGGATCAGGAAAATGGAAAAAGCAAGAAATACAAAATAAGAAATGATTTTATCTGAATATCAAACCTTCTGACAAGCACAGCCAAGCGGGAAGCCGGATTGTGAACAACTTGACAATCGTGGCAGGCAAGGTCATGAAAGGGGCCCAAAACTGGCTTCACAAATGTCTCACTTAGCGACGGAAATTTGGGGGTCCACTGTGTGGTCGTAAGTCGAGGAAATTACTTCTAAATAAGATTGTCGCTTCCCGGTACGCTGTGCATGAAAAACAGGCTGGAAAAATCCTTCTTCGGTTCCGCCGGCCAGCAAATAATAACAACAACAATAACAACAACACCAAGGATGCTGGCAGCAACCCGTATCAACCATCAGCACCAGTCAATTATATTTGTGATACATTTTTAAATGTTCAGTTGACTTTCACGTCTAATGAATAAAAAAGATATAGTAATAATAATAATAACAGCAACAACAATAATAATAATAATAATGAGATAAAAATGCCAAACCCAGTCTGAACATCTGGTTGACTGTGCGATGATATAATAATAATAATAATAATAATAATAATAATAATAATAATAATAATAATAATTCCTAAACACTTGGGAAGTGTTCAGCTAGTGAGTTGTGACACGAAACCCAGCATGGTTATCTCGTCTGCTGTGTATACTGTCATTTTTGTGTACTACAACAACAACAACAACAAAATACATGAAACTGAGTCAACTGAGCATTTTAAAATGTATTACAAATATTATTAACCAGCACCGGTGATGATAATAATGCCAAATTATTACTCATCGCACAGTCAGCCAGATGTTCAGACTGGGTTTGGCATTTTTGTCTACCTATCGAGTCCTTGCCGAGGACCTGGGATGGGCAAATCCGGATGTTTGATGGTGTTGCAGATATCGCCGCAGGATGGAAGGTGTTCCAAGTCAAGCTGCCTTCCGCAATTGACTGATGGCAAATTTGTCAATGCCACCGATGGTGTTCAAGTGATGCTCTAGTGGTTTTGGGACTGCACCCAAGGCACCTATTACTATTGTTACCACCCTTGCTTGCCTTTGCCACAGTTGTTCTATTTCTATGTGTAGGTTTTTGTACATTTTGTGATTTTCTCCAGTTCTTTCTCTTCTCTCCTGCTGACTCCTGGCACTGCCACATTCACTACCCAGATATTTTTGTCTTTTCTTGTTGGCGACAACTGTCAAGTCCAGGATGTTATGTGGCCAGGTACCTGTCTGTCTGGATTCTGAAGTCCCAGAGCAATTTAACGGTTTTCATTTTCTATGACTTTTCCTGTTTTATGGTCCCACGGTTCTTGCTTAACAGGCAAATGATATTTCCATTGTACCATTGTTGTTACATGCGGCTGCTTGTAGTGAGTTTGTACAATCTTTTCGCAGCAGCTTACCAGGTGGTCCACAGTTTCTTTAGTTTCTTTGCTACTGCTGCTGCTGTTGTTGTTGTTGTTGTGGTTGTGGTTGTTGTGGTTGTTGTGGCTGATACCTAGGATGCTGGCAGCAACGCATATCAACCATCAGTGCCAATGAATGTTATTTGTGATATATTTTAAAATGTTCGGCGGACTGAATTTCTTGCTTAATGAATAAAAGCGATAATAATTATGATTATTTAGTAATAATTTTAAGGAGATACTTGGTTGGTAGATGGGATGCTGGCAGCAACCCGTATCAACCACCGGCGCCGGTCAGTGAGATTTATGATCCATTTTAAAATGTGCAGTTGACTTGAGTTTCATGTTTAATGGATAAAATATAATAATAATAATAATTGAGTATTGTTATTATTGTTGTTTTTGTTGTTGATCCTGGCAAGCATCCAGATCTGACTATCCCAGATCCCTTGGTGGGGACTCAATAGGTAGACAAAAATGCCAAACCCAGTCTGAACCTCCGGCTGACTCCACGATGATAATAATTAATAATCCTAATAATTCGGTTTTTTGCGAACGGCCATTGTGGCGGTCCGTGATTCATTCCTTTTCTTCTCTCCCCTCTCCTCCCCGTCTCCTTTTTAAGCTATTTACCTGAATAACGTCCTCCTCCTCCTCCTCCTTCGCTGGTTCCTTTTAACAGCTTTAATTATACACCGGGAGAGAAACAGCCTGGCATTCAAGCCATCAATCAAACGCGATGCCCACTTTTTTCGCCCCCCCCCCCCCCCCCCCCCCCCTCTCCCGGTGCCCACTTGAAAATGGAAAACAGGACGAATGGGCGAAAAAACAAAATGGTTTCCTCGGAAGTTCCTGGGGGAAATTTTCCCCTCAGGGGGGCTTGGACCACAAAAGACGCTCATTTCTGGCTTTTCCATTTCGGTGGCGCGTGGGCGGGAGACGTGCCTGGCCTTCGAAAATGCCACCGGTCCTCAGACTTACGACCGCGATGGAAGCTTCCCCCACCCCCCATCGCTAAGCAAGACATTACGTCCTTTCGGGCCACGGTCGCTAAGGGAATCGTGGGGGGGGGTTGTTCGACTGGTGACACGGTTGTTAAGCGAGTCTGGATTCTCCCGTGGACTTGGCTAGTGACTTGGTGTGACACACACACACACACACACACACACACACACTCACACACCCTTCTCAGGACGCTGCAGCCGTCGTAAACGTGAATCGGTTGCCAAGCAACTGAAATTTGATCGTGTCCCACGCGGGGGGGAGGGAGGGGCGATTCTTCTGAAATGGTTGTAAGCATGAAAAATGGTCACAGGTCGCTTTCTCGGTGCAGTCGCAACACTGAACAGTCACTAAATGAATGGTTGTAAGTCAAGGACTAGCTGTACAGGTCCTTGTGAGGCCCTTGGCAGGCCCCTCAGCTTGGCGTTTTGGTTGCAGACGTTTCACCGCCCTAGGTAACGTCATCAGCACTGGAAGGGAGTGGGATATGTGGGGTGGGGGAAGGAGGAAGAGGTAGAAGAAGAAGAGGAAGAGGAGGAGGAGGAAGAGGAAGGCTGTGGAGGTCCTAGTTGCTCTCTGAGCTTGGCTGTTTTCTTGCG